TGATCACTTTGTATGGTTTTAAGAGTTGATGAACCTTTCCTTTTCATTTGTGAAAATGTTCATAGAACCAACTGTTCACCTAATTTTGGGGGTGGGGGCGGGAAATACCCTTACAAATGTCCCTTTTCTCCATTAAACAGGACTACTCCAACACCCTAAACCAGTCCTTTTTCTCTGGCATTTACCCCTTGCATACAAATTCTTTTTTACTCTTAATTGTTGTTTAGTGAGATTAGGCATGCCTACACCCTACCCTGGCAGCAAAGCGTGCTGCATCCACTCCATGCATGCTACCTCCTTACAGGGAAATTTTGTCTCTCTTACTGCAGCACTAGTCATGCATCACTAAAGCGTCCTGATAGCATCCTTATCACATATACTCAGCACAATTTTACCTGCTGCCTCCTGAATCAGAAGTACAGCATGCCTCATTGTGGTGCTCTCTGGCACTGCATTAAGCTAGCATAGACATGCCTATAGCATTGTTAATGTCACTATTTGTTGAAAACCAAACCACCTGATAAAGTTTTCTTGCATTTTGCTGAGATCCCTCTTTTGTATCTGTTACTAAAGTACACACAGTAAGGGCTGTGCAAAGCTTTGGTCCCTGATTCGATTTGGCCCGATTCGGTAGCCGAATCTCCAAATTCAAATTGAATCAGATAACCCTTTAATCTCTCCAAATCAATTTGGACAGATTTGGTGATTCAGATGTAGATACAGCTTTAAATGGTTTTTCTACATACCTCTAGATAACAGAGGTTCTGAATGCTGCAGTGCTGGGGCAGATGCAGCATCCCACGGAAGCACGGGGGGGATCCCCAGTGCACTCGAGAGCAGACCTAGAAGTGGGCCAGAAGCACTTCCAGGTCCACCGGGGCCCAGTGGCTTGGCAACTGGTGCCTCCTTGGTTGGGGGGGGGAGGGGAATATGACACCCGGGGTCCCCCTGTTGCCAATCTCCAGGCTGGGGGGGGTGCAGGGGGTACTTCCAGTCCATTTCTGGGTTTGCTGCTGTGTGCTCTGGAGAGCCCCCCCATGCTGCTGTGGGACATTCCACATGGCCCAGCACCGCAGTGATCACAAGCCATGCTGCTACCTCAAGGTATGTAGAAAAAACTTTTAAAGCTGTGCCTGTGTCCGAATTGCAGATTCTCTGAATCAGGAATGTATCATCAGATTCGGATTTGGCTGAATTGAATCGGGGACAGTGATCCGAATCAACAAATTGAATCACTGTCCCTAATTCCGACCAAATCTGAATCAAATAGGGCCTGTTTTGCACACCCCTGTACATATTACAGCATGCCTAGTATGTGAAATGAGGCCTTTCTATGTAAAATTCAGAATTTTATGCCTTTTCTGATAGTTAAAACATCATAGCATATTTCAGTCTAATTCCTAGTTGCTGTCAACCTAAGAGGTTATTTACACCACAGTTATATGGGAATAACCATTTAACTACATAACAGTGTGAATAGCCACTGGGTTTCAGATTCATATCCGTTATTAATCATCCTGACAAGCTGTATATCATCAGCCTTATCCTTTTCAAAGATGCAGTTTCATTTTGTGTTGTCACCAGTGGGCACTGGAATGGACTTTATTTTGAATAGCTGAATCTAATTTGTGCTGATATTTCTTACTTCTCTAGGTGTCTCTTATATTTTTCTAGCTCCTGATTTATATATATTTTTTTTTAGTTCTCCCAATGTATAGGTATCATCCCTGGATTTATTTAGTATGTGGCTTTTCTATTCTGTTTGTTCCTGGATCATGTAATAGAGGCACTAACCCGGAACTCTGTCATTCCACTGCACACACTCATGTATTTTCATTACTTTTTACCAAGTTTTCACCTAGTTTAACAGCACCTCCTAAGTCAATTAAAATTCACTTTTCTCATAAATGGTGTTCGAAAAATTGAAGTCTAAATGTAACATATTTCCAATGTTTTCTGGCTTTGTAGTTTGTTTGAAAAATGTTCATTAGCCTGGCATTATTTATTGCTATTGAGGAAATAGGTATCTAACTTTTTGATCATAGTTTCTGTTAGTATTAGATTTGCTATTCAATGAACAAATGTTTTCACCTTGAAGGGAACTTTAAAATACACAGTAAGAATTAATGTCCCATCAAGTTCTATTTTTTTTAATAAATAACACTAACCTGTTATGGTTGAAGATAATTTATATTATAAAATATCAGCAAATTGTAATTATGCCTCTGTACAGTAATGCCACAAATTGTATGTTGTTTTTAGTCCTTGTTGCAAAAGGCTGTTGCAGTTGAGCTATGACTTTCCTGAAGTCTCTATTTATGAAGAACTGGGGTAGGAATATAGTTCTTTTTAAAATACAGATATTCATGAGACTAGCTAGAGAAATACAGAAATACTGTGCAATATAATTTGCAGTTTACAAAATTCTTTTTAAAGTTTGCCCTATAATAAAACACTGTTAATGGAGAGCATGTTTGCTGGTTTCTTGAACAATTTTCAACTAATTGGAGTTTTTTGGTCCATGTTAGTGTTTATGCTAAGCTTGAAAATAGAAAATTAATGGATTGTGTGTCTATCATTTTAAAGCACTGCTTCTAAAATCAAAAGGGCAAAAAATAATCACTGCCAGCCTAATAATACTTTTGGGTCATTTAGAAATAGACTATTACTATTCCTAAAGAAGTATTTCTGGTTTGGTGGTGAATATTTCTACAATATTGCTGGCACTTCTATCTAGGTATTTTGGGGCTCCATTCTCAGGTTACAGACTAACCTGTAATGAATGCATAAAAGGATTAAGGGATCTATTTTGTAGCCTTATTGGTCTAAGACAAAGAGAAATACAAAACTGTAAAACTCTTGGTTCAGAGGTAATACCTTTTATTAGACCAACTAAAAATAGCAAAAAAAAACGCTTTCTTTGCAAGCTTTCGGGCACATGCATCAAAGAGCAACTCACACAAAGGGACTCTAACAGACCCAGGGGAATATATATGTCCAGCCTCAGCTTCTCCTGTGCAAAATGAAGTATATTTCTACTAAGAGGACTTTTACAATTTTTGATCTCTCCTCAGCCTGAAGAAAGGTGTGCGTGCCCAAAAGCCTATAAAGAAAGAATTTTTTGGCTATTTTGTAGTTGGTCTAATAAAAAGTATGATCTAAGAGCCAAGAGTTTTAGAGTTTTTTGTATTTCTAAAGGGATTAAGAACATTTTCATAATAGGAACCAATTGTTGGTACAGTTTTTTGTGTGATATGCTTAAGAGAGTCAGAAACTACCTTGTAGGTAGTTTACCATTATCAAACTTCTTTATTTCTTAGGCTCTTTACATGAGTTCAGTTACAGCACAAGGAAAACATGGCAAGAAGTAGAACATAAGGCAGTCCAGCCCCTTATTGCCTCAAGGGAAAGCTCTCCAGACAAGGGCTGGTAGGGGGCTCCCAAGGAGAGCACAATAGTTGGACTGGGAATTATTCTCCTGCTGGGAAAGGGGCAGGCTGTTAATGACCACAGCTACCAAGGTCAAACCCCTGCCCTGCTGGGTTGCCAGGACCAAGGAGAACTGCTCTCCTCACCATTGCCACCTCTGACAGTGCTGCTGCCAGAGTCCCAGGGGGAATTCTGTCACCCCAACCTTACCCCCCCCCCCCACAAGGCAGACCTACCTGTTCCGCTGACTGGCAGAGCAGACAGGTGGGTCAGGGTGTTCAGGCTTGTGTTCAGGGATTGCTGCTGCTGCTCGAACTGTTCTAGAGGGAGCAGAGATGGTGCAAGCACGCTAGCGGCAAGGCCCCAAAGGGCCCCCTAACAGTTCACCACTGGGTGGGCTATCAGGGAGCCAGTGCTTTCCCACCCCCTTGGAGTCAGGGGGAGAAGGAGGAGAGTGAAAGGTTGTGGACTACCATGGGTCCTAGGGACCTCCATGGTGCTGTGTGAAACTGAACACACATTACACATGGTGCTAGAAACTTTGCTTTCCAGCAAAGTTGCTCTTTGAAAGAGCCAACAGTTTGTGGCAAAATCAGTATGGTTTTTTTCTGTTACAAGCAACTTGAATGCCCTCATGCTTGCTTTTTGTGCCAGGAAAAGGGAGTATTTTTCAACACAAATGTAAACCCTGTCCATGGCCCTGTACACTGTTTTATGCACCAAAGAGGCATAGGATTTCAAACTAGTTGGGAACACCAGCAAGAATGTAGTAATCTCTGACCTATACCAATACATTTTGAATTTAGAAAACACAGTGTTACAATACCGTACAGTGGCTGCATTTATTAAAGCAATGATAAAGCAAGACTCTGTTCCTAAGAAATGAGAACTTTATACCTTTACCATTATTTGTGCAAAATGCATTCTTGCTTTGTGCCAGTTTTGTACTGCAAAACACTCCATTAAAAAAATCTCAAAAATGCCATGTGAACTAATAGACTGTAAACTGCAGTCCCTTGGGTCTTTTTACAACAAATCAAAAAAGTCTACCTTTTACTCATTCCTACCTTTAATTCAGGGCCAGAATTCTAAAACAGTCTTAAAATCTGGAATTGGGATCCTTGGCAACACATTTGTACGTGTGCAGCACAACGTTTAAAACCACTACTGGGAATAAATCTCCCAGGTTTCCTCACCCAAAAGCTAGGTGCACATTGAGTGCAGGTTTGGACAAGGCTGGAAGATTTGGACAATATCTTTTTGCTTTTGTCTTTGTAAAAGTGACAGTTTTGGATGACAGGAAACTGACTTTTATGTAAGCATAGGCACCAGTGCTTGTCCTCCACTTTCTATTTGTAATCAGCAATATTGTATGAAAGATGATGTATGACGGTAAAATGAAGTATGCTCTTTACTAACATTGATAGAGGATTGTCCTGGAAGTCTAGACACTTCATTCTTAAGCTGAAGAAACCCTTTTGTTACTAACTAGGCAGTGCAGGAAATGCATAGACTGCCTGTCAAATATTTTGTAACATCTCATAGTGAACATTTCTATTTTTTTCTTGCAGGCCTCTGGCTGTGATGGCACTGAGATCCCTGATGAAGTGAAACTGATTGGGTTTGCTCAGTTAAGTGTCAGCTGATGTCTATCACTTGACCCCCAAGCAGAATTGTGAGATTGTGAAGAGGCCGGCTTAGATGCGAAGGAAAATTTAAAGCACCACACACTGAGTTCTGCTTCATTCTCTAGCAATTCACAAAAACAAAACAAGCAAAAGCCCACAGCTACATCGCTGCTGCTAACATTCAGAATGCTACTAAATGTCTCTTAGCAGTCAATTTGGATTTCCCTTAAATGAAAAGCATATGGTAATGCACTCAGGTGGCTGTATTTA